TCAAACGTTAGATTTCTTTTTCTCTTTTCTTTTATATATATTTTTTCTTTTTTTTCTCTATTTTATCAAATGGTAAATGATTATTAGAAAAGATTTTTTTATATGTATCTCGTTGATAGTCGAATTTCACGCGAATCAGATATAATCATCGTGAATTTTAATAATAAACGCATTTTAATTAAAACACAACTTTTCCGTTGAGTTAATTCGTTAAAGAGAATTTTCTCTATTAATAATTTTGCTCTTAAATCAAATCTATGCGTTTATGTAAATTTATAAAGATCTCTCGAAAAGAAACTCATGAAAGCTTTACGTGAGTTTACCTATATCTGTGTGTATATATAAAATACATTTCTTGTATATATGATATACGTGTGTATGAGTGAAAGAAGTTAATGCGTTGGGTAAAGTCGTAAGGCCCCGTTAGAAAACTGAATTTTCCATGCATGGCGAGAGAACCCGAGTACGCACATTACATTCATATATAAATATATATACGTGTATGTATGTATGTGTCACGATATATAAGGCCCGATGATTTCTCTCAACGAGAGAACTCGACCGTTGAAGAAAAGAGATGGAATGATTGGACGACGTTGAGTAAGAAAGAAAGAAAGAAAGAAAGAAAGAAAGAGAAAGAAAGAGAAAAAGAGAGTGTGTGAGAGAGAAAAGAGAAGGCCGACAGAGTAACAGCAACACACAGCAGACAGCTTGGCGTCGTCTTGTGAAACCTGGCCCAGCCAGGACGACGATTCTACCAGACAACTTGTCGGCTTGAAATCGTTGGATCTTCTTCTTCATTTAGATCCTCGATCTCTCGATCTTCCTTTTCGATTCTCGTTGAAAGAGAAAAACTGGTCCAGATGTGCCCAAATAATTCTTAACAAATTCTGAACGAAAAGATATACATCATTTCATTTTATTTTCTTTTTTGATTGGAATAAATCAACGGTACGGGGGACTTGTATCGGAAAATCAAATAAAATCATAAAAAATCGAATAAAATGAACTCTATGGGGGAAAAAAAAATATCGTCGACGTGTAGACGTAAGTTTCTCGTTACGGAATTCACGATCATGCGAATGAAGAAATCCGTGATCTCGAACAGAAGGTGGTTTGTTGGTCTTCTCAGAGAGTTGGTGCTGTGAGAATGCACGGAATGCTGATCTCTCGTATACTTCTTTTGCTTGATGACCAAGCATGTTTTCTGTTCGTTCGTTCTTTCCTTTCGTACGTTAGTATTGCAAAGAAAAATACTACGACTTTCGAATACGAGAATTTCAAGCTCGAGATTCGATCGTAAGATCAGATTCTCTAGAACAATATTTGTTAAATTATTATTATTTATTTTTTTCTGTTTATTGTTCTCATAAATCAGCCTGTATTATTAATTAGTTATATAATTCTCAACACTTCTTAGTGATTTTCTTAACTAGGGTAGGTATCTACCCAAGGTAAACTTAAATTAAATGAAGATTTGATCATTTTTCAGTACTTTAATTTATGTAAATTGATTGTTCATCGATTAAACTTTAATAAAATTGAATTTGTTCATCACTATTTTCTTTGGCATTAAAAAACACAAAAATTCATATACTTAAAAGTCTGATTATTGCTATCAGAACAGTTTTTGTAACCCCCAATTTGTAGTTTGAGGATTACAAAAGTAAGTTTGTAGTTCTAGAGTTAATAACTTTAACAAAGTTATGAAAAAGTTTCCATGTAATTATTTTTTCTTCTTTTCTTCTTTAAAATAACTTTACCTCGTGCAATAGTTTGCATGAAAAAAAAATGGAAATACCTATACGAAAAACAGGATGGTACGAAACTTTATGATTAAAAAAGATCTTTCATCGCGTTCTTATATATTACTCATATTAAAAAATACCATCCACGAGAAAAAATAAATATTAAATATTATATGTACACGTGTCCCTTCATGAATACCATGTTTTCCTTTCGGCAAAAAACGAAAAATGATCTCTTATCACGAAACATTATCGCATTCACGCTTCAAGACTCGGACTACAACGAACTTGCTTTTGTGAACTCTCTTCGAGAAGAGTACATCCCCATTATTAATTCGCGACGGACAAACCACGTTCTTTATTTCATTTTTTTTCTCTCTCTCTCTCTTTCTCTTTACGAGATGAAAGGAACGAAAGCTTACACGTGAGAAGAAGAAGAAGAAGAAGAAAAAGATTTTTCCCGGAACAAAAATATCCTCCTTGCGAGATGGTAAAGCGGAACGATCCGTTGGTCCACCTCTTCCCTCTCCTCCCTCCCCCTTCTCACCATTTCCCCCTATTTCTCTTTCACCCCCGCACACACTCACCAATTATGGTACCACCGGACCGAAATTTCGGTTTATGTTAGAACGAAAGAAATGAAAAGCATAAAATTGTAACTCAGTCAGTTAGTCAGTCAGTCAGTCAGTGGGGGGTGAAGGGGGTGGGTTTGTCGCAACTAATTTGACGGTTAGATCTTTTTAATGAACCGTTAAGTTAATCTGGGTCATCGTACGAGCTGCTAACGTTTCTAAATTTGGTTTCTCTCTCTCTTTCTTTTTCTTTCTTTCTATTTTTGTTAGTTCGTTCGTATACTTTTTCACCTAACGATTGCAATCACCAAGAGATTTCAAATGAAAATAAAATAAAAAAAGAAAAGAAAAAACATAAATTGATAAGCGTCCTTAATCCAGACGAATTGATTTCGTTGGACGCATATATGCGCCTACATCACTGTGGAAAGGTTTTAAGAAAGAAAGAAAGAAAGAAAGATTGCAATCGTTGCATACGACAGCATTACTTTTGAAATAATGAGGGTAGGGAAGGAAGGTTTGTATCTAAACGGAAATGACGTTGTTGCAACATATGTTTGTATGCATGCACATACATTATATATATATATATGTATCTTATGTATCTACATAAGGGGTGATACGGCTCGTTGAACGGTTCCTACCGTTGCGGAAATAACTCGCGTGTAAGAATCGTTGACCGTTTTAAAATGCACTCGAACGGAAATAAGGACAGGGGAATACGTTTTGTGAACGTAATCGAATACATACTACAACGAAATGATATTATGACTACTAAAGTTATATATCAGTGATGGATAATATTTTCTTTTATTTCTTTTTCTATAGAATTGTTTAAAATATAAATGTCGAAAGTTTAATTATTAAATTATAAAAGTTTAATTATTTTCATCATTACTGAGAAGAAACATTAAGAGAAGAAATGGTTTAACCACAATCTAAAGTAATATTTAATTTTTATCATATTTCAATTGAATTCACTTGATAAAATTCAATTGTAAAATATAATATTGTATTAATTATAAAGCTAACACAATATATTATACCAATGAACATATCTATATACTTAAAGTTATTATAATTTTAGATATATATATTTATATACATCATGAAATATCAGAAGACTTTATTTTCGTAACACGTACAAAGTTTCGACAGTTCCGCAAGAGAAAAAAAGAGAAAAAAAGATTTGACAGAATAGGTGATACTCATGAAAAGCATCAAAATGCTTTCGATGACAAGCATACCACCCCTCCTCCTCCTCCTCCTCCTCATTCTCCCCATTCCTTCCTTCCACGTATGAGAAACGCATTGAAAGTTTCACAAAAGTTATTTTCGACGAGTGAACGAACGAACAAACGTACGAATGAACGAATGAACAACACGAGGGTGGCAAGAGTTGCTTGCCCAAGCCGATATCCCGTTTCTGCAACAACGATTATTTTTACCCATCGTGGCCCACATTCGTGGACTTCGATTACCTCCTCTGACGCGTAATCGAATGACGAGGGGGTAGGAGGGGAGTAGTAGTTTTCTCTTACATCCGTACAGCTGACGTGCATCCAGTAAAAAAAAGGGAAAGAAAACAAAATACAAATCCGTTCTTTTACTGCTGAACTAGAAAGAGTGAGAGAAAAAGGGTTATATTATTGTAACTTAATTTAGATTTGAAATTATTTTAAACGAAATGATTTTTTAATTCGAAAAAAAATACCTTTAACTAACAACAAGTCGACCGAAATAATCGACACCACGAAGTTGTCGATATTTACGTATGCGCGGGAAAAACGATTTCAAATTTACCGGCATGAAGTAATTCGTAAATAAATAAATTAGATTGTAGATATTAATTATAAAACTTTTATCAATGGTATTTAATATCTTCATTTTATTTTAATTTAGAGTATTATATTGGTACGCGAGATAATTGTAGTTATTTTTGAGATTATTGAGGTTATGTTCGTTTTGGTACGCTAAAAAGAAGTATAACTTCTTGCGTGCATATTTTTATATTTTTTTGACTTAGACCACTTTAATAATTATGGGCATATTTAAGGGATAGTAATTTCTAAAGAAAGGTCATCCTTCTCTCCCTCTCTCTCTCTCTCTCTCTCTCTCTCTCTCTCTGTTTTTCTATCTATCTCTGGAAGATATTCTTTAAGAGATCAATGACGGCTCGTTATGTCGTTAGTTTCCGTCGATGGTGGAAGAAGGAGCAAGCGGGAGTAACGATAAATCGAGTAATCAGGAAGACGAATCGAACCGAAGCCGAGAACCTCGGTTGCTCGGAAGCGCCCCGCGGCCAGATAATTACCGGAGGCCGGTCCGAAGAAAATCAGGAATGCGACCGAAAGAAACTACCGTGATGTCATAAATATAAAACCGAGCAGTCGTTTATTAACGGCTCATTAATAAAAATCCTTAAATGGATGTGTACAGAAAAGTTGAGGAGAAGATCGAACGAACGTTCATTGGGTGGCGGGGGATGTATAGGAGACTCAATAATATTTAATAAATGAATTAACAAAAAATTAGGAATCACTTGTGTGTGTGTTTTATATATCAAAGTTCTTAGTTACACATTTGAAATAGAAAAGAAAGATAATGTATTATATGAATAATTCGAACGAAAAGATTGATTCGATTGTTATATATTTGTTTTTTGTTGAAATGTTAACAGGGTGGTGGCGGGGAAGATTCAGACGAGGATACGCAATGCGCATTGAGCGAGAATTGGACATTCGAGAAGAAGACAAGACGATGGTCTCGGGTAGGTGACGTAACACAAGGAAACGTTGAAAGGTTGCAAGCGATAGCAGGACAACAGACGTTGCAATCTGAGGAGGATTCTCTTCAGGATCGGCTAGAGGCCGAGGAGGCCGAAGATACGATGTTGGAGAACTTGAAATACGGTAGCCTGCCACCGGGTACGTTGCCGGAGGAGATCAGTCCGAGATTTCGCAGGACCGGCTCTGAGAGGCTCCGGGATGGTGCGAAGGCCATATTGAGGAGGGTCGAGTCACTGAAATCCCGTCGACGTAAGCGTCAGAATCGTGACGGTGTCGTGATAAGCGGTCCGCAAGTACTCGACGTGATGTCGATGCAACAGAAGATGAAAGAATTGAATTGCGTTGACGTGTCACCAACTGGACCGGCACCGATCACTTTTAACGATCACAACATATCGAGTTCCTCGCCAGTCCACGTTCCCGGTTCGCCGGTGACCTTGCCACCTTCACCTTATCATTTACCACCTTCCCTATTGGCTAATGCAACGAGCAGTCCGTTCGGTGATGATTCTTCGAGTTACTGCTCGGATGGTTCGCAAGGAGGTGGTCCGACGCCTACGCCAACGCGTACGAAGATGAATCGAGCACGTAGATTACTTCATCGTGGTAGAGACGATCAAGGTGCATTGAGCGATTCCGAGTGTCAGCCGACCAGTTGGAGGCAAAGATATTTTAGAGACGCCAATAGTAATCATGCAAAAGTATTGGAATACGTTGCTGCTCATCCACAGACACCGAAGGAATGTTCACCGAAGAATACGCCTATCAACACGCGCGGTGGAAGCCTAAATCTTGGCAAGGAGTCGCAAAGGTTCCGCGATAAGTTCTGCCAGGGTCAGGAAAGGTTCAAGGAAGACAAGGTATCAGCGTTGAAGCGGGAGGATAAAATGCAGAAAAGTTTCAGGCGTCGTGACGATTCCCACAGGGATGAAAAACCTTTGTCGAAGGATGTAACCGTTTACAGGGACAAATCGCGCTCGAGAAGTTCCGAGTTGGGGGCTAGTCAAGAAAGCAGTTCCACCGTAGCGAGCAGAGACTCTGATCAGGAGGAAGATTCCCCGAGGCACAAGGTCACGGTCGTAAGGTGGCATAGCTTTCAAAGGGGCTCCCTATATCCGGAACCACTCGATCCTCTTTGTTCTCGTGCTATGGCTTCGATGTCCTGCGGACAATTATTGGTCCTTAGAAAATTAGCATTACTCAAATTGACAGCTTGCATGGAACGTTATTGTCCGACTCATCGTACTGGATGGAATTGGGAGTTACCAAAGTTCATCAGAAAAATAAAGACCCCGGATTACAAAGATAAAACTGTATTTGGCGTACCTCTTCTTTTATCTCTACAAAGAACTGGTCAGGCTCTACCAAAAAGCATACAAAACGCTCTAAGATGGATCAGAACTAATGCTTTAGATCAAGTTGGATTATTCAGAAAGAGCGGTGTCAGGTCGAGAATACAAAAGTTAAAAGTCATGACGGAAACCCAAGGAGATAGCATCAATTTCGACGGTCAACAAGCTTTCGATGTGGCAGATCTAGTGAAACAATACTTCAGGGAATTACCCGAAGCCTTGTTGACGAACAAACTTTCCGAAACTTTTATCGCTATATTTCAACGTAAGATTCCATTTATTTATGAATATAAATTTAATCACATTGATCCCCCGTTAAATATAAAATAATCGTACGATTTGAATCCTTAGATGTTCCATTGGAATTACGACCGGACGCAGTACAATGCGTTCTGTTACTTTTGCCGGACGAACACCGGGAAGCTTTGGAAGCGTTACTAGATTTCTTGAATCATGTCGCAAGCAACTCGGTCTACAATCAAATGACAGCCTCGAATCTGGCCGTGTGCCTGGCACCGAGCCTGTTCCATTTCAACCACAGTAACACAAACGTGACCAACAGGCCGAGCAGTGTATCCCCACGTAGGAGAAAGACCGTGGGCAGTCCCGATCCACGGGAATTGTCGGAAAACAAAGCAGCGCACGATTGTCTTCTGTATCTGGTCAACATGCATCGTGAATTATTCATGGTAAGAGATACGCTCGCCAAACTGAAAACGTTACGCTCGTTGTTCGAGTGTGTCATTCGTCGTTCGAACCATCGATCCCAATCGTGATGGTCGAATCCGAGATGCAAACACGTTCTCACGAATCGTCTATCCCTCTTATGTATATATATATAATCCTTCATATACGCGCGTATATACAATACTTATATGTTATATACTTGGTTGCTCTCAGGTCTCATCGGATATGCTGACACAGTGTCACTTCAATTACATGGAAGAAAGCGTTCCAGTCGCCCTCGATGAACTCGGTTCGGAGCTCAATCAAGACTGGAGGGGATATCTGAAAGCCTGCACGACTGCGTTGTTGAAAGAAGCATGCGAGAAGTGAGTAGTGACAATCTTGTAATAGTTTCACTTTAAACGATATATAAATTATCATTATATTATATTCATTTAATTTCATTATTTTTATTATTATTTTGGAAAGTATAAAATGAAATGAATGTTAATTGTTAATTTGATATACCTTTTTTTAAGTTATACTTCTTTTAGCGCGCGTTTTGGAAATGCAACCGAAAAATCGACACCACGAAGTTGTCGATATTTATATATGCTAAAAAGAAGTATAACTTCTTACGTGCATACATAAGTACACATATCAGATTTTTTTGATTACAGAAGTCGTGGTTGGGTGAGCGTTAACAATCCTGCAGATAGTAGCGTTGATATGGCTTACAAAAAAGTTGGCGATGGTCATCCTTTGAGACTTTGGCGAGTTTCTACCGAAGTCGAAGCACCACCTAATGAACTTTTACATCGTGTTCTTAGAGAAAGACACATTTGGGATCAGCAACTTCTCAAATATAGATTGGTCACCGAATTGGATAAGAACGTTGAAGTTTTTCAATATGCAATTGGGAATATGAGTCCTCTTCCTGCACGGGATTACTGTGTATTAAGGTATCGAGAAACGTTTAAGACAATAATTATTATATAATGTTTTTTTTTTATTATTAACAAATTGTATTTAATTGTAGATCCTGGCGGAATGATCTTCCTAAAGGTGCGTGTGTCATCGTTGAAACGTCAGTGGAACATCCAGATGCCCCGGTTATGCCTGGTGGAACTCGCGGAATTGTTTTAGCATCGCGTTATCTCATTGAACCATGCGGTAGTGGAAAATCACGTATCATGCATTTGTCTAGGGTCGATACAAAGTAAGTATGACAATGTTTTTCATTTATTTTTATTGGGAATATCTGTATTATATATTTAAACATTATATTTATATATCTTTTGTTAATTCTCTAATGAATTTAATTTGAATTGAACAGAGGACGAACACCCGATTGGTATAATAAAAGTTACGGACATATCGCAGCACTTCACTTAAGTAAAATTCGCAATTCATTCAAGCATACTACCGATGGGCCAGAGACCAAAGTTTGAGATGAGTATACCGTGCAGTGTGCAACACTGCACGGTGCTTATCCGTATTATCAAGAAACCGGCAAAACCATAAAGGATTCACGTAGATCTAATAATATTACAAAATGAACCATTGATGAAAGAACTGATTGATTTCATCATCTTATTATATTTCGAGATATAAACGTTGTCAGAATTAATATTAATACTCGCCGATCCGATGTAACATTGTTTTAAACGTCCTCGTGTTATAGTTGAAATGGTCAGAATATATATTTTTTAGGTAAACAATTAATATAATATGTAGGACCATATTGAAGAAAATATTAGGATGAAAACATCGACGTTGCCAATTAAATCGAACGATATTAATTAATGAAATGGGTTTTATTGAAGCATATCTTTATTAGAATTAATTAGATGAATGTTAGAACAACTCATTGGTGAGTTTTTACAAATTCTATGTGTCGTCGAATTGTTATGATGAAAGAAATGAGAAAAAAAATTCAGAAAATAACTCTACGATATATTTTCAGAGGATGAAAATAATAATGTAGTTTATAAATGGCGATACTTAGATTCAAATTGCATTCGTCGTTGATGTTTGATCGTTTTTAGAGAAATAGTAATAAAAAAAAAAAGAAAAAAAAAAGAAATGAATATTTTTGTGTACACCGTGTAGTAAAAAAGAGAAAAAGAGAAACGTACATAAATAATAATAATAATCATAATAAGTACGTTAAATGAATCCATAAATAAAATGTTGAAAAGTGTATTAATCGCGATGACGATATATCGAATTTATTTAATCGAAAATTGTCATTCGTTGAACATTGTATTACATTGTGTATAGATTGTAAGTAATTCGAGAATTAACGATATATTTTTTATTCATTTTCCGGACCAAATGCTAATTTTTCTATTGTATTATATTCCCCAAGTGTGTGTGTGTGTGTGTCACGTTTAAATATAATAATTATATATCACGTCGGACAGACACACAAACACACACACACACGAAAAGAAATTATATATTATATAAATAAAATATAAGCGGCAAAAAAAGAAAAGAAAAAAAAGAAAAATGGATGTATAAATATCGTAATGTACGTGTACATTTATGTGGTACGTATTTTTAATAGTTGTATAAGTATTGTTGATTTAAGAAAAAGGGTGCATTCGAGTATTTTCGTTAAACATCTTCTCGCATAATTATAATTTATATTATTAAGTAATATTTTTCTCAGACATGACGAGCATTAACCAAAAGTTTCTATATCAAATTGAAATTATTTTTTATCGAATATATATATATATATATATATATATAAAAACAAAACGCACATTTATATTAAACAATGCGTGTTCTATATCAAATTGAAATTATTTTTTATCGAATATATATATATATATATATATATAAAAACAAAACGCACATTTATATTAAACAATGCGTGGGCGACAATTATTTGAAAATATATTTTTTCGTTTAGAACTTTAACAGAATAGAAGATAAAATAAAAGCTGTTGTTACAACAACAATCTTTATTTAAATCTTTGATAATTAATATGTTTTAAGAATGATCATCGTTTCATTGCATTTATATATTCGTTTTAAAGAGAATTAAACGAAACTCGACGACAACAACAACAACAAACAACAATAATAATAATAAAATAAAAAAATAAAAATTGCATTCGTAACGGTGTGTGCATTCGTAGCGGTGTGTGCATGCGTGCGTGCGTGCGTGCGTGTAAGTAAATGAAAAGAATATTTTTCGAACGTATGGGGGTTGGGGGGGGGGGTTGTAACGATGGCATATAATAAGAAAAAATTTAGGGACCATCTTCTTTTCGAGCCTATTATTATTAAATGATCTGCGCGTAACGCATTATGATTCCCAGATATAATAATCGATAAAAATGAAAACAAGAAAATTAAAATAAATCCATCTATTTTAACATAATACTAGTCACTTAACGTTAGTTTAAATAATACGTTCGATAAGTGTAGGAGATTTTTCTATTTTTTTTTTTTTTTTTCTGTTTTTTTTCACATCGACGCGTGTCAAAGATATTTCAAAGAATTTTT